TGTTATAACAATAAATTAAAGCAGCTGCTGAAAGTGTCCCCCTCCTTGTTCCAAGCACTTTTCACACCTGTTCCTCAAAGAATTAAAGACATTTTCTAAGATGCTCGGGGTATTGTTAATTTCACGAATCTTGTCTATAAGTCGAGCCTGCAGATGGTTTAAATCAGGAATAGGCAGTTCAAAAATAGTGTTTTTAAGGTAAGGCCACAAAAAGAAATCACACGGCGTAATATCACATGACCTCGGTGGAAATTCATGTTCAGCATTGAGACTTATTAGTCGATTTTGGAAAACTTCCCTCAACATATTCATCGTCTCGCCTGCCGTATGTGCCCTTGCGCCATCTTGTTGAAAGTAAAAGTTTGTAATTTCGTTTTCTTCCAGCTGGTTAACAAAAGGAGCGATAATTTCTTCTCTATACCTTTGCGCAGTAAGAGTACCTTTAAAAAAAATTGGTCCATAAATCCTCCTTCGATTGAGAGCACACCAAACTCCAATTTTTTGAGCGTGTCCTCGACAAAAAAGTTATCTGGTTTTTCAGAAGACCACGTTCTCATATTCTGTGAGTTTACGTAACCACTTAAATGAAACCAGATAAAAGTTGTAGGATATCAAGAGATCAAAATACTCGGAGAACTTGTATGACTTTTTCTTTATCAGTCCGCAAACTATGGAAGAATAAACCACAATCATATTCAAATAATAAACTTTAAAAAAGAACGCTCCACACGCTGTTTATGCACAGTAATTGCTGATGCTGTTCTACTTTCCATGCTCCGTTAAAGGTTGCTCGTTAAGAAGTCTAGTAACATATAATTTTAGGAAAGAATTTGTTATAACTTTTGATCTAATTGATCAAAACGAAGTCACAAAAATTTAAATGAAATAAGTCATCCTACTATCAAACTTTTATGTCTTGAGAAAAAAAAATGTATATACATATAGTATGTAGACAAAGTTACGTCATTCTATAATTTTGTACAATAATAATAAAATAGCTGTAATTCTTTTATTTTTTAAAATAAATATCTGTAACTTTCACATATTACTCATCAAATGACGATTGAAACAGTGAGTGATAAGGAAAAAATCTTAAAAATTTAATTTGAAAAATATTGAGCTCGACATATTCAAAAATTTAAAAAAATCACAAATTTGACTTTTTAGGCCATACGTTATAGATCAAAAACTATAGTTGTAAATGTGATATTGAAACTTTATGAGAGCTTAAAATCTCTACTTTAAGATGATGCATTTTATTTTTCTTAAAAAATTGAAATAATAGTTGAAAAAACAAAAAATAAAAATATTTAATGAAAAATCCATGAAATTGATTGTTAAATAAAGTTTAATATTGTATAAAAAAAATTTTTTTTGTTTAATAAATTATCAAAGAATTAAGTTAAGACCTTAAAAAAAGTAAATAGTGTTAAAAGTAACTTACTTTTAACACGCGTGTCAAAAAATGACATTTTTAACATCAAAAATGACAATTAAAAAGCCCACTTTTAACAGTTTTGTAGAAAATAGCTATTTATGATATACGTGTTAAAAGTAAGATTTTATTTTGTGAGTGAAGATGATTAAAAAACGAATCAAAGAATTAACTTAAGATCTTAAAAAAAGTAAATCCAGCGAAAAATATTTTTTTTATTTATAGTAAAAAGTGAAAAACTGTTATAACAGCAAAAAAATAACATTTTTTGATGAACTGATTTAATATTAATTTTTAAAACGCATATTCTGTATTTGAAATTGTGAACATAAGTTCTCTTATTTATTTTAAAAGCGTTTTTCGTTTATATGAATTAAATTATTATTATTATAAATGGTATAAGAGTATGATTTTTATGTTTTCGAGTAAGCTGCAGTTATCAGTGTGTTAAAAAGTGTATTATTCCCATATTTTGTCCATTTTGAGGTTATACTCTCGTACACTTGTAATTCTTTAATGTAATATTATTACTTAATATTATAAATAATCTTCAGTTTGCATTTAAGGTATTTATATTCGTTTTCTTTTATGCTAAACCTGAAAATGTACGTGTTTATTATTTATATATGAATATTGATCCATTTTTAAAATAATTAATGAATAAATAATTAATAGGGGACGTTGATTTAATTTTGTAATTTTGTATTTAAAATCAGTGTTTTTTTTTCAATTTTATTAGCTTAAAGCCTTAATTGCCCAGTTATTTTTGAAGAAGATTAATAACTCGATGAGATTTAAAAATTAATTATTTTGTAATAAATTCGTTTTTTAAAAAATAAAACATATTTTCAACAAAACCTCTTTAGCCATTTATAATTTTCACGAGTTTGATTTAAAATCGATAATTGTTAAATAAATTGTTTAAAATAGTCGGCCATATTGGATCAGCCATTTTGAATTTTCATTTTGCGACTTCATATTCTTGTTCAGCGACATCGAAAACCCCTATATTGTCAATTTGAAAGAATTCGATTTAAAATTCATTGAATTATTTGAAATGTTCTTAAAAAAACTATTTACTATTGTTTAAAGAATTAAAAAACAATTAGCGTACAAAAATAAGTTTATAACTTTTTTCTAATACTTATCTCCAAGTAATTTCAAAAGGTTTTAAGAAAATCCATGCTTCCTAAAATTATTTCGAAATAATTCGTAATTTTAAGCTATCTTGACTCCCCTAGTGTACTTAATCGGAAAATTAATTTCGTTCCGATTTACATTTTTTATTTTAACTCATATAAATCTAAGAACAAACAAATTTAAATTTATTTTTTTATGTTATGTTACCTTCCATTGTTACTTTTTATTATATTCCGACACTGATGGGAACTTAACTTTAAGTTAATTCATTATAAATATAAATTTAAAAAAACAAGTCTTCAAACGCATAGTATTATCGCAGCAAACATGTATTATTACTTTATATACATTGTATGCGTATATTTCCTTAGGAATACCGCACTGGGTAAAACAATATATATTTTTAATTTCTGCATTATTTCCGATTATAAATATTAACATTTTGTTACTATTGTAGGCAATTCAGACGCTACTGCAACCTGGAAGAATGAAGAAAACTGCGGTACAACGATGTACGACAACGACAGCGTGGAAATAGGAAAAGGAGAAAAATACACTGACAAGCCTGGACTGGCCCCATGGCTAGCTAGGCTTGGGGTGGTCAACATCGACACCCAAGAACCATTCTTCCACTGTGAAGGATCTCTGATTAGCAGGCAAATTGTGATATCGTCGGCTCACTGCGGTACTGCTAACCAAGTGTAAATGATAAATCCACCATTAATTATTGTAAGTAACACAAATTTAAATGTATATTTTTAGGGCGAGGTTAGGAGAGAACAACATAGACGAAAACGTTGATTGCAAAGTATCTGTATGTCCCCCACCCCCTCAGGATATCAAGATACGGACTCAGGTTCTCGGCAATAATCATTGCAACAAGACCAACAGATATGATATATTAGTAATAGGTCTCGAAACACCAGTGGAGTACAATGGTAATCATCTTGACATCAGCACTGTAGATTGTCGAACTATACTGTAAAAAATGTAATTTAAGACCTGATTCTACTCGCGAAATTATGGTGTACAAAGTAAATCAGATTCATTTGAGCCTAGATACTCCTGTCTAATTAGATCAGCCTGAAAGCTTTAAAAAATTGTTAGTAGAGAAGACCTGTCGCAATATTTGTTATTTTATGTTGTAGTCAATTAACTTACCTACAATTTAAGGTATTGCGAGGTTTTCGGCTTGAATGTTTGAGATTCGGTTAATTTCTTTAATTGTCTCTAACATCCCGGTCCGACACGTCCAATAGTTAATTAACAACTAACGTTATAAAAAAAGGCTATCTAGGTGATTTCTTCTTTTTTAAATTACTGTAATAGTAAGCCCTATTTAAAACAAAAAGAGCGAATTCCCTAGCGGCTTTTGCCTGACCCTTCGACAGCTCATGTTTATAACGCTGTTTTACACATCCTACATTGTTAGTTGTAAAGGGCAACTTAATTTTATTTTTTCGATACGTTTCTTTGGATGAATTAGAATATACATATTAAATTCTATAATTAACGTTTAGTAATTAAATACGAAATTAATTAGCAAATAGTTTGAGCAATTTCACAGTATATTGAGTCAGCGCACTATAATTCATTTGGACTTAGGTATGGACAAAATTAAGTAACGCCTCGTTGAAAAAAGATAAAAAAAATTAAAAAAATAGCGTTTTAAAGCATAAGTTTAACAGATTAAGGAAAAAATAATCACATTTCACCAGCACCCCATTTACATCCTCAAAATTGAGCCACAAAATTATAATTTTGGAAAAAAATTATATTTTTTGCTCTCTCGTTTCAAAAAAAAATTTTTTTTTCAGATGATACAAAACATTATTTTATATTTTTTGAGATGAGGAATAAGAATCCATTGTTTAAATTGAGCTAAAAAAATTTAGAACCCTTAAATTTACGAATATTTCATTTTATGATGTTTTTAGCTCAGATTTATGCATCGATTTGCTTGAAATTTGGACAGTAGGTGGGGAATAGCTCAAGAAACAAAATACACCCTATGCTGTATATATTTTTACCCTGGGGATGGTTTCTACCCCTTTGAAGGGGTTGAAAATAAATTTTGTCTGGTGCTGGTGAAATGTGATTATTTTTCCTTTAATCTATTCCACTGAAGCTTTAAAAGGCTGTTTCTTTAATTTTTTGATCTTTTTTCTACTACTACGCTACTTAATTTTGTCCATGCCTAAGTCCAAATGAATTATAGTGCGGCGTTTGGCGTACATGTTAGTAATTGGTTTGGCCGTTTTTTCCGTAAATTTCATCAACATCCATTGCTTTTTGAAATAATAATGCGCAAATTTCGAAAACTGATGTTTTCGCGTTCGACCATTATTTTACAGTTAAAAATTTATTGAAAATTACTCTAGGTACCCTAAATTGTAGGTAATTTAATTGCTTACAACATAAAATTACATATTTTCCGTTAGGTCGTCTAGATTTTCGTGGGCAGTAAAAAAGTGAAAAAAAACACGTACATTTGCTATTTATTTAGCGTCATTTCTTTCGAGTTACTTTTTTGATATTCTCATTCTACGAGTACATAGTCTTCCCCGTTACAAGGTGCAATAAAATGTCTACTAATGATTTTTTCACGTTCGAATTCTAACTCGACTGGATGAGGTGCGCAGTGGTAAAGTAATAGGCCATCTTTTTTTATTTGTTCAATTCAGGGCTCAAGTGATTACCTATTCCACTGTTTCAGATTTTGTTCGACCCATTTGTGTTTCTGGGGCAGCACTGCCAATGAAAGGGCGTATGATTATATCAGGATTCAGTGTGTCACATATGGAAACTAGGGACGACAAAAAGAATGTATTTGAATCTGAAAAAAAATTAACGTACGCCGAGGCTCGAATTTTAGAGAAACAAAAATGCGACGCAGTATACGCCCAGGAGCTGGATGAGGGCCAGTTATGCGTGGGGTATTCGAAAGGAGGTAGGCAACTTTCAAAATCGTCGGCTGCAATCAAACTTTGTTAAAGTTAATGTCGACGTGTGACCTTTTTTCAGTTAAGGAGCCCTGCGCAGGATCTCCAGGGGGGGCGCTGATCGTGTACCAAAAGGAGAAGGGGGTGAAGCGGGCATATCTGATGGGCGTTGCTTATTACGATCTAGAGACGTGCGAATCGGGCGGAATTCGTCCAGTTTCTTACTCTATCCTCGGGGTTCTTGGTGGAATCGCTATAATAGTTACAATAGTTGCGGGAACCCTAGTAATAATAAATGGAATAAAAAAATTATTTAGTGGATGAATATAAAAGCAGAATCTAAAGATGTTATATTCCTTTAATGATACTAATGAATAAAGGGCAAAGTAGAAATTCGTCTCGTTTCTCCGTTACACAAATGCATTTGTATTTTTCAACATTTTTGTTAGCGTATATAAGTACTCTTCGGAATATGCCTGGGGTATCCTCGAGATGGTACCAGCAATTTATTATCCTGATTTGTAAAAAAAAATATTCTTAGGACGTCCTATCGTCAGATAGCGAAAACCATACATCCCATATTACATCCTGAAGATATCCCTAGGACAAATTTGTGCTATTTGGGTAACACTTAAATATGACACCGAATTAAGACAAATATCAGCATTTCCGTCTACGATTCGCTTTGGAGAAATTGTATGTCTGACTACAGGCAATATAGCTTCGCTCAGACCGCTACTGGATTAGGCCAGCAGTTTTAAATTTCCGAATTGCCGATAGAGTACACCACCAGCAGAATTTTAGGAAGAATCAAATGCAGCGGCCCGAATTCCTACGCGTATCCTAGCAACATATAAACAACACTTTGGCAATGTTGCAAGGCGTACTTACGGATTTATTTTGTACACTTTTTTTTATCAATATCTGTTTTTGGCGTAACTGTATTTACATAAATGTATGATGTAGGTATTGATAAAAATGTTTTAAAGAATCAACGAATATCTATGTAGTTTCATATGATATTCTGCAGCGGTGTCACAGTTAGGTTATTTAATCATAATTTCGTTAGTTAGCTACTATTTTCATTTTTTGGTATTGAAATACTGCAGAAAATATATTTCTAAATAAATAAAATTCATAATAATATTTTGCAGCTTGTAATATATATATTTTTTTAATATTTGATGATGATGATAACTTTATTTAATATACAAGGCGGGTTATTAGTATCTCACAGAATATAGGTACGGGGTTTTTGTTTTATAGGTTTAATAATAATTATTAAAGAAAAAAAACTTTAAATACATATGTAGGTACGACTTTTCCTTTATTTCTTTTGACATTATCAAAATTTGCTGGTATAAAATATATGTTTAAAGTAAAAAAAAAAATCATTAAAAAAATTAAAATACATAGGTACTACTATGTATACTATTTTTATAACTAACCTTTACAACAACACAAGGAGAATGCCCAAAAACGAAATTACATTAAAATATCTACCAATTTTTACAAATATTCAACATGCAAGTAATTGTGATGATACAGTTGAAAATATGCTTTAATTTACTATTTATTGCGTTAAAAACAAATTCAGAATTATCAAACATTTCGTACTGTATTTTTTCTCTCAATACTTGTAAATTTTGAAGTGTCCCCACAAAAATATGTCTAATGGGCTGTTTTCTGCCCATCTAAAGTTTCTAATAATATTCTTTACAGTGTTTGTTGACGGTATTCGTCCTCCAAAATAAATTTGCCGGTATTCCTGAAGAACTCTTCCACATTATTTTTATTTGAATAATGTGCAAATGAAATTTTAATAAATTATGCCACCTCTGTGATATTAATTTTGATAATTTTAAACGTATTTTGGATGTTGTTATTCAATTACTAAATAAGGAACGTATCTTTTGATATGTGGATTACCTTTGTATTTTTTCTTTTGTCTAAATTAAAGCAAAAACAATAAGGAACATAGTAAATAACGAAAGGAAAAGTAAAAAGTCAGTGCTTAAATCTAATTTGATTTGATCTATGATTTTATGACTCGGTATCCAGATAAAAATTATTTTGTATTTATTTTCAATAAGATACTAAGTATACAGTACAAAACAAATGTATATTAACTGTAATCGAAATTAAAAAAATTGTAGGATTTTCCATTTTGTATACCGCTATTGTCTTCCATTTTACAATAATATAAAGGCTTTAACAAATTAAAAAATATGCAAAATTATATCCAACCGAATATTATACTCTCTAGCCTTATTATACATATATGTAATGTCGAATATTTTAACCAGTCTTCACAATAATGATTTTTTTAATTTTCAACATACAATAAAATCTTCTGTCACATATTTCATATTTATTTATAATTATTTTTAAAATATAGAAACGAATTATTCACCCATGAACAATGTAAAACTTAACCTCTGCTTGACTGGATCAGCTGTTAGCTTAAGCACGCGCAATTGATTTTGTTCCATTTGTTCCAAGGTGACATTGGGATACTCCTACAATATTCGTACCATTGTGAGTCTACAGGCATACTATAAAGATTTAATTTTCAGACTAATTATGACAAAATCGGATACCGATATCTTTTTATATAACATCTGTAACTGTAATACGTCAGTTAAAACTTACACAAATATTGCAACTACACAAAGATCTCACACATCACTGTCGTAGTATATTTTAAAGTTCTAACAAGTATCAGTTCACAATACTGTACCTAGTATTATTATTTAACAAATGTGTCGACGAAGGAGTATGGCCAGGCTCATTTAAAGTAACTAAAGTTCTTCCCCTACATAAAAAGGGTGATTCAAACTGTCCGGATAATTATAGACCGATTGCAACTGTCCCTGTAATCAGCAAACTTTTTGAAATAATCATAAAGCAGAGATTAACCAGTTACTGCGAGAGCAAGCATATTTTCTCTGATTCCCAGTTTGGTTTCAGGAAGAAAAGATCTACACTCAAAGCATTATTGTCAATGATTGAAGCTATTGTAGAGGGATTTGATGTCGGTATCAATTCAAATGCTATAATGTGCGATCTCACGAAAGTATTTGATTGTGTCAACACAAAAATTTTATTATATAAATTAAAGTACTGTGGAATCAGAGAAAATGTGCTTAATTTGTTTACTTCGTACCTATCTAACAGGCAACAGTATGTAAGTCTGAATGGAATTGAGTCTGGCTTACTGCTAGTTGAGAACGGAGTTCCCCAGGGTTTTGTTCTGGGACCCAATTTGTTTCTCTTATATATTAATGACTTACCTTACTCCGTAGGTGATGCCTTTTGTATTATGTTTGCGGATGACACTACATTAATTACAAGGGACGACGATTTCAGATTAAGCAGTCTACAACTTTCTAAAAATTGGTTTTCTTCGAATAAATTAAAACTCAATGAATCCAAAACCCAAAATATCTTATTTAATACCGACAAGAGGGTTACAAAATCGGAAGTTAAAGTTCTTGGGTTGATATAATATAAGTTGAGTAAAAGCCTTCTATTGGACAAATGCTTTTATAGTGTGCAAGATTATTTTAACTGGTCCAACACAAACCATTAATCATTAATATGTCAGTGACTTCAAATATACTTTTATTGTACGTAATGTGGTCGTTAAATAAAGAGTAAAGAATCAGGAGTAAAGAGTAAAGAGTAAAGAGTAGAGAGTAGAGAGTAGAGAGTAGAGAGTAGATAGTAGAGAGTAAAGAGTAAAGAGTAAAGAGTATTATTATTATTATTATTAATTATTATTAATAGATATAGATTGCGGACGCCACTAAAAAATGCACAAATATCATTTTAGCGTCAACAGTCATAATGATTCGCTTACAATGAACGGTAACAAACTGTTGCGTCTACGCCCGAGGTAATTCGATCGCGCATTGGTTGAATGAAAAATATGAAAATGTGAAAACAAAATGCAAATTTCTATATTCCCCTTTGTTTATTATTATTATTGTCAAAGAAACAAGTTGTCTTCTGTTATACAATTTTTCATTTACCAAATAAATTACTTATTGCATTGAAAATACATGAGAATATAAACCTACCGGCACGTTTATAAACAACAGGACGGGTTTCAGCCGTTTTGCACGTCGATTGATTGTGGGACGCGACACTCACCAGGAACGCTCGATTCACCCCTTTCACTTCTTTGTAGGCGATCAACGGTGCACCTAAGGGCACCGCGCAAGGCTCTAAAAAAAAAAAAACAAATCGCATGTCGTTCCTGGGACAAATGATTTTAAATATTGTCTACCTTCTTGTGGATATTCCACGCAGTAATGGTCCTCATCTAATTCTGGGACGTATGACTTACGGCACTCCTCTTTGTCCAAGACATGTGTCTTCACGTGGATAAGGCTTCTGGAAGACGTTGCATTATTCACGTATGGCAATCCCGGAAGCGTATCACCCCATCCCCATTTGGCGCCAGTGCCACGCTGCGCTTTTATGTTTGGTAAAGGTATGTCCTCTTGTGAAAGACAAATGGGCCGAACGAAATCTGTAAAAAAGGTACCAATGACACTCGAACTAACAGATAAATCCATCGGATTTTTTGACCATAGGAGTTTTGACAGCAGTCTGAAGTTGACTTCTAGTATACTTATATAATGCTTTTGGACCTTTCTCCACAAGGTTATTCTCAAAATTTTGCCTGGGTAAATTTATTTGAGAATTCACGATGAGCGAGAAAGTCCTCTACAAGACCAAGAACATGACCAAATAATCTGTGTAGTGTAGGAATTTAACATCAGTACATTGAAAAATAGACGAATTATTGTCATTTTGTTTTTTGGGTACAAAATTTTAAATGTCATTGATTTACTAACATCTCCTCTAGAGATACGAGATTGAGGGAATTATTTACATATTACATGAAGAACATTATTATATTCTCTGCTTATAGTTATGTCTCGTTTAATTGATATGGTTTATGCTATCTTTAATAATGAAATAGACATACAGGGTGTTAAAAAAAGAGTGTAAAATATTTAAGGAGGTAATAGTATGAACCAAAATAAGCAGAAAAGTCTCAATAAACATGGGTCCGCAAAGTAACGGTTGCGGAGATATGGAATGTTTTGTGTTTTTTAGACCCTTTTTTTATTTTGCAAAAACGTTGTGTATTTTCTTATAATAGTTGGTTGATGTTTAGTCAAATAAACAGTACGTATTTGAGAGTTGTTCTCAGTGCACAAGTTTTCTTTCGCTATGGCTGATTACTCTAACGCAGAATTAACAGACATGCATTTCATGTATGGTCGTGCTAATGGGAACGCCACCGAAGCGCGAAGTCTTTATGTCGACGCTTATCCAAATCGCCAGATTCCTTCACAACGCATATTTGGAAAAATTCACCAAAGATTGCGTGATACCGGTTCCTTGAGTAAACAGTGCCATTTATCCGGAAGACCAAGGTCGGTATCCATTCCTAGAGTAGAAGAAGAAATTCTAGCACTGGTAGAGCAGAATCCAGGTACGAGTGTGCGGAGAATATCAGCCGAGGTAGGAATTAGTGGTCCTCTTGTTTGGAGAATCCTTCACGAGCAACTGCTTTATCCATACCATGTGCAACGAGTACAGGCCTTAAATCCAATAAATGATCATCAAGCACGTTTGGTTTTTTGCCGCTGGTTTCTACGTCATGATGCTGAAGACCCTCGTTTTCTTGCAAACATTCTTTTTACTGATGAAGCCGGGTTCACAAGAAATGGAGTGTTTAATTTTCACAATACGCATATTTGGGCCGACGAAAATCCTCATGCTCTAATAGAATCTGGACATCAGGCTCGTTTTTCATTAAACATTTGGATGGGTATTGTAGGTGACAGGTTTCTAGGTCCTGTTGTTTTACCAAACCGATTAACAGGCGCTGCTTACCTCAACTTTCTGCAGAACACACTGTATGAGTTTTTGGAAGACATTCATTTGAATCAGAGGCAACAAATGTGGATCCAGCATGATGGTGCTCCAACTCATTTTTCCATGGCCGTTAGAGAGCATTTACACCAAACTTTTCCACATAGATGGGTAGGAAGGGCCGGACCTGTTTTATGGCCTTCAAGATCGCCTGATCTGAACCCTCTAGATTTCTTTGTTTGGGGATATTTGAAGACATTAGTGTATGGTACTCCTGTAAATATAGCCTGGAAGAGCTGCAGCTACGGATTAGTCAAAAGTGTCAAGAAATCCAAACCAAGGAGGGTGTTTTCGAAAGAGTTCGAATATCGTTGAGACGAAGATGTCGTGCCTGCTTGGAAATGGACGGAGGGCACTTTGACCATCTTCTGTAACTTTGTTTTTTGTTTGTTAAAAGCTTCCTTTGACGGTTTATTCCTAATAAAATAAAATGTTTGAAAAACGAATAGTGGTCCATATCTCCGCAACCGTTACTTTGCGGACCCTTGTTTATTAAGACTTTTCTGCTTATTTTGGTTCACACTATTACCTCCTGAAATATTTTACACTCTTTTTTTAACACCTTGTATTTTCCTCCATTACGATTTTTAGCAAAAAATTTAGGAAATAAACACATATTTCGGATCGAAAATTTAGTTTGATATATATTTTTTGCACTGTTATTCTTCAATCTGAATTTGATACGACTGCCGTAATTGGTTCTGTAATACTGTTGTTATATCGTGTATAGTGTGCTTATTATATTTGCTGTTGTTTTATAATGTTAAGTTTGACATGACGTGCTGTATTGAATATTGTATAGATTAACTAGTATTTCCAATTAGGCTCACACCTGTTTGGAAAATAAATAAATTAAAAAAAAATTACCATTGTATTCGACTGGTGCTTCGAGTTCTATTATTGAGATTTCGCTTTTTCCGGAGTCGTTAGAATTATCAGCGACTGTGTGTTTCCGTATCTTGATGTCTTGAGGAGGTGGAGGGCATACAGATAATTCGCAATCGACGTTTTCGTCTATATTGTTCTCTCCTACTCTCGCCCTAAAGAGATACACTTAAATTCGTGTTACTTACAATTAGTGGCGGAATTATTACTTACACTTGATTAACAGTACCGCAGTCAGTCGCTGATATCACAATTTGCCTGTGAATCAGAGCACCTTCGCAGTGGAAAACTGGTTCATTTGCCTCGACATCGATCACCCCAATTCTAACTAACCAAGGAAACTCTCCCGCTGCGACTTTGCGGTTTCCACGTTTTGTTAACTTGAAGGTGCCGTTGTCGTACATTGTTAATCCGCAGTTTTCTTCATTCTCCCAGGTTTGTGTATCCATTGGTTTGCCTATATTCGATTACAATTAATAATAACGCCGGCGCACAAAAAAGTGGTATGTACCTTTGATTTAATAGGCATTATTTACTGTGAAAAATCGTCACCTTAGTGAGCGCAAAAAAATTCGAAAATATTTTTTCTGAACTTGATCAAGTGTCCAATAGCTCATTCAACGAAGCTCGCGTCAATGAAAAGTAGGTATGCGGTCATCCAAAAATTTCAACCATGAGCCAGCAATCAGGTTTCACAAAATATCCCTACTTCTAATGTTTATGGAATATAGCCCGGTCAAAATAGACATTTTCAAATAACGAAAATTCCGACAGAGCTAAAAAAAGTCCCCATGGTTCATCGGCGGTTACGTGAGAGCGATAAAGTAAGTCATAGAAATCCGTGCGATAGAGAAAGATGGCTATAATGAAGGCGTCTAATAGTTACCGCCCATTTCGCCCTTCCACAAATAAGAAGTGGATCTTATTTGTGGCCGATGAACCATGGGGACTTTCCGACCCTGTATGTGCATATCATGTAGGACGTGACTCCTTCAACTTTTACAATCGTGATATCTCAGGAATGGTGATTCTTAGAATAAAAAGTATAGGAACCGTTTTTGTAGATAATTTTAAGATCTATAATTTTTGTCAGAGCTACTTTTTTGATAAAACTTACCATTTTCGAAAAAATCCAAAAAACTCAAATTTTGACCTTTGACCCCGAATAACTTTTTTAGCACACATGGAATCGATGGGAATTTTTAACACTTTATTTCTGATGGTGTATCTAAGGTTTCCACCAAAATTTAGCTCTGTCAGAATTTTCGTTATTTGACCACTATTTTTATGACTAATTTGACCGGACTAATAGCAGGGAGAAGAGTGGGGATTACTAAAATTTGGTTGAAGAGATGCTGAAAAATCTGAAACACTTAGGTTGCTTGATGAATCTTAAATTGCACTTCCTACATTCTCACCTCGACTACTTCCATCAAGATATAAGAACTGTGAATCGAATTTATTTGGAAGTAATTCATATCCATGGCAGGATATGGATATTCAAGATTTTTTGTGATTTTTGGAAAATTTTTGTGTAATAAATTCTGCTCGACAAAATTTATAAGAAGAACGCTTAATCCAATTTAGAAAACCTCTTCCTAAATTTTCTCATTCTCATTAATATGATTTTTTTGCGATTTTCAGCTACTTTTGGCCTTTTTTTACAAAATTTGGGGGTGGATACAGCTAACAGACATCAGTTTCAAAGTCAGCGTATCAAAATACATGAGAAACACACTTGATCAAGGTCTGAAAACATTTCTTTCAATTTTTTTGCGCTGACTAACGATTTTTGACGATTTTTCGCTATGTTTGCCAATTACTCAAACATTTGACCACATTCCTCATCAAGTTTGTATTTACTTGCTGTTTTAACGAATATGTTTCTCACAATTCACAAAAAAATGTCAGAGAGTTTATTCAAATATTAACAATAATGTCCCCAGGAAGATTACATCACAAAGAAAAATAACATCGACCTCAACTATCTGTTATTACATAAAATTTTTTATTTTGTAGTCAACCATAACTCTTAAAAATTAAATCCCACATTCGAAAACATCCTTTATATATTTCTTCAGTACATGTGGGCATGTAATGTCAGAGTGTGTATATGACTTCATTCGATGAGAACTTTAACTTTTTTTTAAATAAAGTAAAAATATTCCTAAAAAGCTCTAAAATGTACTCTTACCTTGCACTATAAGAAAATACGCAGATAACATAAATATGAAGAAGTAATTCATATTCCTTTCAATAACAGTATATGTTTAAAATCTACTTTACAGTTATGCTTGGTGTAAAAGAAAATGGTATATATATAATATCGAAATTAATTCTTAACCCACACAGCATCCGAGATTTATGTACCACGCAAATTAATTCCAGAAAGGAATAACAATACGGATGAAAAATTTTATACAAAACAATATTTTTGCAATCTTATTTTCATCAGTATTTATAACATGATTAAAAAAAATCATGTACATATGTTCGCAACTGACCCATTTTAAGTATTACGTCAAGAGCGCCAACTTGACGTCGGCGTCGCCCGGACGCACCAGGGTTCCAGGAAAAGGTCCACGGCAAATTGGCGCCAAGGACCAGATACTTATACCTGCGAGCGACTCCACACCATGAAAACTCTTTAGCGAACAACACTTCTTTTTCACTAACGTTGTTTTCAATAAAAATATTTTATTTTACCGTTGAGGGAGAGTTTAATTTTTACTGCACACCGAAAGCAACCCTCACTATGTTAGCTTAGGACCTCAGACAGATTCTAGCAGCTTGCCTACCCAATTAATTTAGTCACGCGCTAATATCCGATGAACGATTTTTTCCCTACGTTTATAATGTAAGAACATAATTTTATATTTAACTAGCAACCCGCCCCGGCTTCGCACGGGCAAATATAAAATAGCCTCTCCGAGGAAATGTAGCTTTCGGTCAAATTGGTTGAGTAGTTTTTGAGTTAAATCGTAACAAACAAATAATCAATCATCTTTTATCTAATGCGACCCAAATATTAATTTTAAAATAATTCACGATATATCTATATACCTAAAGACAACAAACGAACTCAAAACTAAAAATGCAAAACCTTTAAATTTAAAACAATATAGGTAACTACCAACAATGTGAAAACAAAACGAATTAAATTAAAGTACCTATGTTCAGGACTATCAATTTTAATTAATAAGTAAGTAGTTAGGTATCTAACTACCTAAAGAAAACAAACACGAAACAAAAATGCGACTATGAAGTTTTAAATGATTCACAATAAGAAAAAAACAAACAAATTATTAAAACTCAATGAAATAAAAGTATGTTTGCAAGTATCTATGTATGTTCCGACTACCTAAAGACAACAAATACAAAACAAAAATGTGACCTTAAAATATCGAACGCAATTATAACTTTCCTACAACCCCCAGAAAGAAAACACAGTCGCCAGTCGTCACCTCCATTCGCTCCAAGTCAGTTTATTAAAGGATCACGCGCGCGTTATCGTTCGGCTTATTAGCTAAACAGTAGGCAAGACGGTGCGGGGGGAGGGTCGGCGATCGCATCAAGCAAAGGGAGGTGCTTGAATTTTATTCTCGCGTCCGTAATTTTTTTGCGATTACTCCTAAGATATTCATTTAAATTATATGGTGTAAAAGAGTAAAATAATGTGCATGAAATGCTTAAAGCCTCTAGCTTATTTAAAATGATAAGGCTTAATGCCGTATTTCCTCGAGAACCACTCTATCCATTGGTGAAAACAGCATGAAAATCGATGCAGTAGTTTTTGAGTTTATCGCGAACAGACAGAGAGACAGACGCGGCGGAGGACTTTGTTTTATAATATGTAGTGATGTGTATTGCCTTAAATACATATTTATTTGTACTTTGAGCACGAGCTAACAGTTTTTGGTTATCTTTGAAGGTTTGATAGCTTAGTTAGTAATACAGTCCAAAGCTAGGTTTAAATAAACAAATAACACATTTTTTATTAAATTTATGGGAGCTCTGTCCCTTTCTTCTCGCCACTTTACATTCATCGCTCAGAAAATTCTTTCAGTGAAAGCTGAGGTATAGGGAACAGAGAGCAGATGAGAAATACTTTTTTTATACCTATTTGGTAAATTATCACAACACACGCATTGGGGTCCAAAAATTCTTCTTATCGAAGTTGTAGCCACTTAAAAGGACAGCTCTGATGATGTTTTTTTTTCTAAATAACCCCGAAACCAGTTGAGATAAATTTTTAAATTTGGTAAATAGCTTAACTCTTACCTACTCAGTCCGTTACTAAAACGAAATTTACAAATTTTCATCACATACATTCTAACACTGAAGGGGAGGGGGATAAAATGTACCATTTATGATTTTGTTTTAACAAATAAATATATTTTAAACAGATTGCCAGGAAAGAATTAAATTGCACAATAATGGACAGCAATGGTGACGGAAACAAAACGCACATATCTAAATTTCCCTTTATTTGTTGCTATAGTTAAAAAAAGAGCTATGTCTTCCGATTGTGATTCTATTTATCACAAATCAAATGAAATATTAAATGACGAAACTATCGAAAACCTGGAGGCACGTGTATAAACAGCATGTTGGGTTTCATTGATGTCGCACATCGACTGATATTGAGAAGCAACGCCGACCAGGAACGCTCGATTCACCCCCCCTTCACTTCTTTGTAGGAGATCAACGGTGCACCAGTGATTTCCGCGCAAGGCTCCCTGAAAAACAAATCGCATGTACTAATGGATTTTCATTTTATCTGGTATATACAGAAATGGTCCTCAACCAAATATTGGACGTACACTTTGCGGCACTCTTCTTCATCTAGAATGATAGGCTCGACGTACATCAGGTCTTTGGTAGCTGTCACATTATTAAAGTGTGCCCTTCGCAATCCTGGATCTGCCCCTCCCCAAACGGTTCCTAAGACATTGGCAAAAAATTTAAAAAAAAATGAAAGTTTTGACACCGAGTATCTCGAAAACGAAAGCCCGGAGGGAAAATGGAAGAGGAAAAGAATGTTTCTTTTTTCAAGAGGAATTTACAGTTTTCCGTTGCGACACTTATTTAGGAACACCCTGTATAAAGCAAGAATTCATCTTCGTTTCAATAACACTATATCTTTAAAATCTATTACAGTTATGCTTAAAGTAAAAAGAAAATATTATTTATAATATCGAAATTAATTCTTAATCTACACAGCCTCCAAGATTTATGTACCTACCTCGTAAATCAATGCCAAAAGCAGTAAATACACGGATGAAGAATTTTATACAAAACAATATATTTGCAATCCTATTTTCATCAGTATTTATAATGTGATTAAACAAATCCATAAACAATTATAATTAGTGGAGTCAAGATAGATTTTGACTTCGCGAAAATTACGGGAAGAGAGAACTTTTTATTTTTCGCTTTGTAAAGTTGTCAGAAACGACATATAAAAAGTTACCAACTGTAGAGTGTACGCTAAATTATTTATTTAACAAATTAGTTGCAAAATTACAGTTTTCGCAAAATATATAAAAAATATAATTAAAAAAAAATTACTCCGCTATTCGAAAGAACAGGAAATTTTACATAAAAAATTTTAATTGTTTTTTTCTAAAATACGAATTGAGGGCTGTAGAATTTTTTTTCTAACGTACGAAAAAAGAGACGGGCGGATCTCAAGTATAGGTCTCGAAGTGCGCGCGGCTCCGAGCGCGCTACACTAAATTTGTTATAACTTTTGATCTAATTGATCAAATCGACTTCACAAAAATTTAAATGAAAGAAGCGTCATCCGGCTATCAAAATTTTATGTCTTTAAACTTGAGAAAAAAATAAATATATAGTACGTATACAAAGTTACGTCATTCTATAATTTTGTACAATAATAATAAAATATCTGTCATTGTTTTAATTTTTAAAATAAATATCTGTAACTTTCACAGATTACTCTTCAAATGACTATTGAAACAGTGAGCTATATGGAAAAAATCTTAGAAATTTAATTTCAAAAATATTGAGCCCAATATATTCAATAATTTTAGAAAATCACAACATTGACTTTTTAGGTCATACTTTATAGATCAAAATCTATATGTAGTTGTAATAGTTGTAAATTATTAAAAAAAACAAAAAACAAAACATTTTATTATTAATAAAAAATTGTGATTATATGATGATCAGACATTATTATGTTATATAAATAAATGTGAATGAAATATCTAATAAAACACACTAAAAACACAAATAAAACACACACCAACACTCGCCAAACCTAACCAACAATAAATATGAACAACATGAATGACATGAAATGATTCATAATTGCAATTGTCAAAATTTATTCTACAAAATCATTGTGGTGACATCTATAGACTCTTTCCCCAACTTGTATATCCATCTCAAGTCACGTGGTTCCCAGTTTCCCCATATTTTCAAGTGCGAGGCACCAGTAAGTTGACCTTTAAATAGTGTTTTCCGCAAAGACAAATAATTTCAAACATTCAATAACTGAATAATCCAAAGCTTATCAAATAATAGGAATGTTATGTCATGCCACCTGAGTATTTTCAAAGACGCCGCAGTAAAACGAATAAACAGGTGCAAAAAACGATCAAACCATCAAGATTTTAGGTACTGAAATCTACGAAAATACTAACTTTTTTATATATAATTCCACATGTAAATATTCTTATAACATTTACTTGCTTAGTCCTACATATAAAATTGTTTACTTTTATTTATAAGTACGCGAAAATAATTCTTAAAATGTGGGGTTAAAATAACAGAAAACGCATGTTTTACAAACGCTTTTTTTTAGTTATTATTTTATTTGGGTAAATTTAAATGGCAACAATGAATAAACAAAACATCAAGGATTTTATTTTTGTGCTTACTTTTGTTCTACACGTTTTACTTTTCAAGATTTCGGTAGGTACCTAAAAATGCCAGAAATTTCACCATTTCTCGGCCAGGGATATGGCCACCTTAAGGTGTTCAGGTATGACAAGTTGCGACTTATTTTTATGGGGATTTATAAAAAGCAAAGTTTACATTATACCACCAACTACCGCGAAATATATGTGGCATCGCATTACAGTAGCATTTCAAGAAATTATGCCAGACATGCTGACCAATGTTGAACAGTTTTTTAAAAACCGAATTCGTTTGTGTATCAATCAAAATGGATTGACGTAAATCAGCGGTCTAAGTATTCTTCTCCTTGTTGTGTTCCGAGTTTCAGTTTGTTTCGTTTTGCGTTTTGTTTTAGTCGTTGTTAGTAGTTT